CCCCAAAACCCCAAAACCCCAAAACCCCAAAACCCCAATCTTTTCTAACAATATTGAGATAAGATTTTCAGGTGAATTTAGAATTCAATAGGATTTTCCTTTCTTTTAGATCAATGGCAAGAATACCATGAAGATATACCAGAATCAATGGTTAGTGAAGGATTTTAAACATGTGAGGGAGGAGGGCTATTGAGTAATGGCTCTTCAGCTCCTGAGATTAGGCTTAAATCATCTGCATCTGAGATGATTGTTGGATTCCAATCAGCTGGAGCTTCTACTTCATGGTGGAGTCCAGGCTCTGGTACTTGAATATATAAAGGTATTTCAAGACAAGTTGCCTTGCGAGAAGAGATACCATAATCAAGTTCAATATGGAGCTTATAAGAGATTGTTATATGCTCTCCATTCGTTGTTGGCTGAAGATGTTGGGTCATAATCTTTTCTTCTTCTAAATTTCCGAATTTATTTGTGAAAATATCCTTTATTCTTCGTTCCTTCGATTTGATCGAGGTTAAGGCTGATGGTCTTTGAATAGTCTTCTGTTGACTCATTTGCTGCAACACCATCCAGTAGGCCTTTCCACATTGTATATTTCTTGCTAAATCTAGAAGCCCAGTTGGCTTTAAGTTTAACAGATTGTTTCAATTTTATCTTTATCGCCTTTACAGGAATATTTCACTGATTATCGATGTGACATCTGACTATTACGACTTCGTTCGTTGCATATCAATCTTTATCAAATTTTACGTCAAGATCTACAGATCCATGATTTTTGAGTCCCATCCAGCTTTTAATCTGGTCGCTAACTCTAGAATTGAAATCTGTAGTCACAACTGGAGGAACTTCTCTCATTGCGAGTTCATTTTCAAATAACATTTCCTCTATAGAAGTGCTCTGCTCTGGCTTTAAGATAGCTCTGACTGTGTACTTAATCGTAGCTTTTGAATCCTGTTTTCCAGAGAAGAACAAAGTGGAAGGAAGGCCTACAGGAACACGAACACTAAAAGGGAAAGTGTACTGTCCAGGAAGGGCAACCTTGCTAGGGAAATAAAAGATCTTGAACTCTTCAGAGATAATCTCTTTGCTCTTACTTATCCTGGTAGATCCATGCTGACCATTGCTCTGGGTCCATTTGCATTTCTCCTTGCCATTAATCTCTATATATAGAGAGTCTGCAGGGTATGGCTGAGTAAGATATAGAAAAATATTGCCTCTTAAATCTTCTCCAGACACAGCATAAGACTTATCAAGCTGGAAATAGATATGTCCGTGCTCAAATTTCGATTTACTATTACCCATTATATATTGATATGTTTCTACGACATTTTATATTACGGGGTTTTGGGGTTTTGGGGTTTTGGGGTTTTGGGGTTTTGGGG